CAACGATACTGTACAAGCACTCGATTGCTGTTCTCACTGGAGAGCCTCCAGGATTTAACCTCTACCTCATGACATTAGTCCACGTGAAATTAGATCTGCACAGCTCACAACAAATCCACCCGCTACGTCCATCACGAGTGGGCATTCAGAGAGAACCCAGGTTGAGGTAACACCGACTAGACGATGGACCACACGGTGATGAACCGCTGTGTGAAGGCTGAGTATTCAACGAGGGCACCGACGCAATCCACCTCGCATCCACTGAAGCCTTTTCCTGGCAGGCTACTCGTGTACGCATGGACTTATCAGTTGCTGTTCATCCAGCCATGCGCAAGCTGCAGCGCTACATTGTGAACACAGAACGGTGAAGCAAACTTCTGTTGTTCTACACCATTCTCCAACTTCTCTGCTTCCCACCTTCACCAGCCCACACTACCAGCGTGGTGAAGTATGGTCAAACAACCAAATGACGCACACGGCGTGGTGAGGCCCTCGTCCAGCAGGGGATTGACGAAAGGACTGCACCTGTTCGTGCGACGTTTCGCAGCGTTGTCGCACGAGGGGTTGTAATCACGAGTGATGTCACTGCGCGCTCTTGGTCAACCTGGTTTGTCTAAAGCAGGGATGGGGAACGTCCGGCCCGCGAAATCATTTGGTGTGGCCCTGCCAAGGCAACCGCAGGCGGGACTCGAAATTCAATAAATCGAGGAGCAAACCTGGAAAAGCATCATCAATACCAACTAACATCACACGCCTCACCAAAGAGAAGCAGTTCCAGCCATCACATTAGGGGTGAGTTAATTGAGCAAATATAACAGGCAAATTTTGAAGTTGATAATTTTTTATGGCCCGCGAATGATGTTATAAATATCCCAATGGCCCTTGGCAGAAAAAAGGTTCCCCACCCCTGCTCTAAAGGGACCGACCCCCTGCCAGTGCGTCGTGTCCACCGTGGCGGGTAAGCAGTCGCAAGTGAGTGCTCGCGACCGCTCGTATAAAGATGCATTGCTTCCCTTCCCGGTTTCCGTGAACGTGGGCCAGCGGCGAAACGTGACGCACTCTTGGTCCACGTGTCCCTGTCTCTCGGTGCGCCCCGTGTCTTCTGCGCTGCCTTCTCGATGTGAACGGGCGACCGATTGTCAGGCGCCGCGTTAGTCCTTTCCCTGACCTCGGGCTGGGGCAGCACTCCCTCAACCCGCCGTGTGCCCATTAGGACTTTCAGAAACCTTTGGTGGGCAACCGCACATTATTTGCCACTAAAGCCGTCTGATCACGCTAGGACTGTACGCATCGATCGTGTGCTGAGAACCACTTGAAATACAACAGGTGACGGAGCGTGCTAAAATTAGAAACTCGGTGTTGTCAGCTTCAAAAATGTCCCCTCTGGTGCCCGTGACAGGGTTAATATAATTTGTCGACTGTTTTTAAGTGGTAGGCCTTGTGTGGCTGTAGGTCATATGGAATGAAATCAAAGGACCAAAGTGGTCCATGCATGGGCCATAGGTTCCCCTTCCCTGGCCCTTACCCTGGCCCTTACCCTGGCCCTTACCCGAGCTCTAATCCTCACCCCGCGTTGGGCAGAGCGGCTGGGAGGCCAAAAGTGTACGCATGTGTCCTTTTTCGTATTTATTGTTGTGTTTTGACTGAGAGACGCTGGGGTTCAGCCGTTGGTGGGGGTTTGACTCTGCGCGGTTGATCTCAGTTAATGGTTACGCTCTCTGCTCGCTCCTTCGAGCCGACAAAAGTTCTTTGAGGAGGATGCTACCAGGGACTGTATTAGGGCAATTGATAGCAGCCGTAGTTGCACTGGAGAGAGTGGCTGTAAAAAATAAACAAACTGCCCCAGGGAAAGAAGCTTTCCTTTGTGTTGAAGCGCTACCGCCCTGACTTTACAGCGAAGCAGCACCATCAGGTGCAGATCGCTGCTTTATCAGATCGCAGCCGTGTTCTGAGGCCATCTCTGTCGTTACGGTTCGTGCGCGGATAAGGGGAGGGCTGAGCGGGCGAGCGCACTGGCCCAGCCCGGCTGCATTCCCCCGTAGCGGGGCCTCATTTGACGAGGGGGCAGAGTGCTCGGGTTTTCCTGCTTCACAGGGTCCCCTCCCTTCCCTCCCCCAACCCCTCCCCCACCTCGGAGAAAGTCTTCCATGAGAAGGGCTGCAGCTGCGAGAAGAGCTTACGTAAGATTGGAATGGCGACCGCGGTGCTAGCTGGCTCACGAACGCAAGGACTCGCAGAGACACGTGCCGCACCAGACAATCTGCAGAATGCCGCTGCCAGACTTCTCGCGCGCCCCCGTGAACAAAACCACATCGCACCCAAACTCCGATCATGCCACCAGCTTCCAGTCCAATCCAGAATCAATTCAAGATGGCACTCACCATTTTCAAGATCCTCCATGGACTCCCTTTTCCCTCTCATGTCACTTTACTCCCCTTCACATGCTCTGCCCTCTTGTCTCACCGTTCCTCTCCACTCGCTCACCTACCTCTCCCCTGTCATCTCGTTCTACTTCCCTCCACGCAATCTCTGCTCCAGCAGTCAATGTCTTCTGTCAGAGCCCCCAGGTAACTTTTACTCAATGGTAGGTGGCTCATCCTTCTCCACTGCCTCTGTAGTCTGGACAAAAAGGGCTGCTGTGCAGGAGCATGCACTGCCTGCCTCATTTGTTCTGTCTGCTTAATTACATTCACTCGGAGGTTTATTTTGTGTACAATTGACACACATTGTTAAAGGATCCACACACATTCAGCACGTCTACAAGTGTCAGAATCGCTTGAAATCGATGAACGATTACACACTCGCCGACCACCCCCCAGAGACGTCTCCAACGACTTGGGTTCGCGAGCGTCATGGCGGGAGTCGTCGTCTGTGGGCCCCTCTGGGGTGCGCGACATCACAAATGCGTGAGCACCGGGCTCATGGGTTGACGTGACCCGGTTTGAAGGATACAGCCTTGAGATTAGCCGTGTTGAGGGTTGTGCGGATTTGTTGCTCATGCGCGCGTCTCCGCGAGGAAGCCGCTGCCCCACCCTGCCCCCCCCCCTTGTCTCTCACCCCATTCCCCGCATATTGCACGCCTCTTTGCCACCGAGCCAGACGGGCTCCTCAGTCCGCTGATGCGACACCGGTAGCACAAGCGGCATGAAATTGGGGAGAAAGACGAACCTAAATTATTGATCCTCTTCATGGGGATAGCTTAGTGGTGGACTCACAGAGTTGTGGTTTGTCACGTGGGAAGCGCATTTGAACAGATCTGGCCGCTAATCCACGTAAGCATAGGTGGCAGCAGCGTGGGTGTGTGGATGCCTGCCAGGATGCACCTCCTGGCGCACCTGTGCACACCCTGTGGGGGGGGAGGTGGAGGGGAACATCGGTACCGCCCCTCCCGCACGCAACTTTCTCCCCGCACGGGCCCCAGCAGAACATGGCGCTTACGACACAGCGTCCCAGTGCTTGCGCATCTCAGGGTTCTGTACAGAGACATAGGCAGAGGAAAGAAGGGGGGGATCCTGATCCTGCACTTGAACAGGACGAGCGAGTCAACAGGACGAATGGCTGGGGGAAGAGAGTTACAGGCTAAGGAGGTAGCAAAGGCGAACGAGTGACCTGCCCCACTGAGCAAAGATTGGCCGTGGGCTTCAACGGAAGCCCACGGTTGCTTCAACGGAAGCCCTTTGGTTGCTGGAGCGGAAAGTAGTGAGATGAGAGGCCAGCAGGGGTTGGTGCACTCTTTAAATTGATCCAAGGGTCGATTGGGAGCCAGTCGAGTGAACAGAACATTGGGATGATGAAAGCCTGATTTGTACTTCAGAAGTTTAATTCCAGAGTACTTGCATGGTGAACCACCAGGGCTTGCCGGGTGTTATAGAGGTGGGGTTGGGAGGTGTAGGCTAGGAGATGGCCGTGCTGGGTATAATCCCCTCCGATACGTTGTCTGGGTTTCTCCACGTTCTCCTCCCAAATACCAGAACCTTGTGATTGGAATTGGGCATGCAGACCAGTATCGCAGAACCCTCCTGAAAAAAGAACAACTAATTGTTTTTTGTAATTATAAAGACTCGTGCTATGCGGTGGGCAGCAGAGGGCAGTGCACGTTCCCCGCCTTCACAAAACGGCACCAACCGGCGTGGTGAAATATGGTCAAGAACTCCCCTTGACCCGCATGGACTGGCTCAAGCTGTCTGAAATAAGAACCCGGCGCTGCAAGCTGCGTGGTGGATGGTGGCAACTGGAAGTGGCTTTGGTCGCTGACGATGCTGAATAAAGCGCATCGTGGCGGCGCTGACCCCACTAGCCAGGTGCGCTCGGGACTCTATCGCGCTCGCTCCTCTCTCGAGCTCGCTTGTCCTGGTTTTGCCAGGTTGCTGTCGACCTGCTCACATGCACACCCTGATGATGTGGGCTACAGGCCAGTGGCCAGTTACATCCAACAACCTGAGTGGAATTTGTCATTTGTCTACCATTAATTTATCCGTCAAGTGGATCGGGCAAGGTGGTTACTCTCACCTCTTCTAGGACATCTGGCTAGCGTGGAAGAGGAGGCCAAGAAATACCTTCAAATCTAGTCGAGGCCATTCTGCCAGCAGTGGTGTGAGCAAGCAATGGCAGGACTTCACCTTTGCCTGTTTACCTTTACTCTTAGTTTGCAAGTTAAATATGAACATGTTCCATGGAAAAAGTGACTTAGAGTTTGTGCAAACAGCCTCGCGTGCATGTTGACAGAACGGCCGGGACGCATCGCTGCCTGGGTGATTTTCCTCATTGTCGTTGATGGAGACGTAGGAGGATTTTGCACCAAAAATAAAAAAAACAGGAACCTATGGGCTCGGCGTGTTTCATAATCTCCCACTCGAGTCCTCTGAGATCTGGAGTTGGGATGAGACGAGGGTTGTTCGATCCAGCTGGGACGGCCGGTTTTAACGGGATATTACTGCTCTTCTTCCTCCTCCTGCTTTGCATATCTGGGCTCACGTAGTGGATGTCCCCCCCCCACCCAGGGGCTGGTCGTCTCACGAAGGGGCGGTCCCTGGTGCGTGCTGCTCGGCATGGCGACTCGCGATCGACTAACGATTTCCGCGGGCCCGCCACAAATGACCAGGTGTTGAAGAAGAATGGGACCTCGTGATGCTGTCCGTTATCCGGTGCGGAGCCCCGAATGCCCTTATTGCGGGTACGTCTTGAAGATCCTGCATGGCCTCGCCCGTCACACGACCACCCTGTCATCTAGCTCCACTCCTCCCTCATCTCATTCTGCTCTCTTTCATATACACTATTGTATCTCTTCCCTATCATCTCACCCTCCACACACTTTCCTACCTCTCCCCTGTCATTCATTTTAATTCCTTCCACGCACTCCGCAACAGCGACCAGAGCATTCCATTGAAGTCCCCAGTCAATCTTCGCTGATTCTCCTCTGCCGTTAACTCCCTGCCGCTGTTTAAGTCCAGGCCTGAGAGCTTGTCTGTGAAGTAAATACGCTCACCGAATCTGTGCTGCATCTTGCGATGTGGTCGCATTTACACGCCACTATATTAATCCACTGCGTTTTATTTGAGAGGGTGGAAGTACGGTCAAGTGACCTTTGCAACCATAATGGTTTGGAGAGAGGCCCTCTTACAGGAGTGTATTGACAGTTGGCTGTGAATTATAACTTATTTATATATTTGTCTGTGTGAACGTTACGTACGACGAGCACGTGCGAGAGTGACTGAACTCCCCCACGGCAAGGCTGTGCGAAACTCTACGTGTTGGTGGCAAGGTGCAGGGAAAACATCCCCACAACCGGCCTTGGTTACACAAAACGCTTTAATACGACGGCGGTAGCTGCGGGGGGCTAAATAAAGGCCGCCAAAAGTGATCGTGGCGGTGCGTTTCGACGCGCACCGCGTGCCATTCTGCACAACTGTCCTCCCCCTTCCCCACCACCGGGGTCTCGCTTCGCCCCGCTGGTGCCGCCCGTGGAATTCCTGTCCGAGGGGGACGAGGGCCTTCTCCGAAATCCGATTCCGAACTTTGAACTCAACCGAGGGCTGCTCCTACTGGGCGCGGGCGCTTGGCAGCCGGCGTCTGCTTTTAGTCCTGAATCTCGAGCCGAGCGGCAACGTGACACCCACTCGTGCGATATTTGCCGTAGGGGCCTCTTGCGTAACGGCGACCCTGCCATAGTTAATCTTCAAGTCTTGTTCTTGGCCGTGCGGATCGACGAGACGGTTGGCATAGCTCTCCCACGTATTATCGGGTTGTACTGCATGATGTCCGACGTTTTGCTCCACGTGCTGGGAGCTTCTTCCGGAGCTCCCATCTCATGGAGCGAAACATCGGACGATGAGCCAGAGAACAGCCGTCCGTACAGCCCGAATGCACATCGGAGAGGCTATGCAACTGCAAAAACTCTCTGCAGCGGTACAAGGGAGTTAGTGTGTTGAAACCTGGAAGGGAAAACTGCTGCATGAATGTTTTCCCGTGAGAGAAACCTTGACTTGCGATGAACGTGGGCGATGTGGCGCTGACGTGGGAGCGAGAATGCGAAGGCTTCATTGCCGGGAAAGCGGCTGTTTAGTGTTGAGACGCTCCTAGGCGGGGGGGGGGACGTGTCCGGAGCTGATCGTGTTCATTCCTAACGCACCGCAACCGTCCTGTGCCTGGCCTCCTCCACATCCTTGGGCGTGTGAATGAGTTGATTTTCATCATTAATTACTGCCCAACACCCACGCTTCTGGTCTGTAGTGGTTTCATCATGATCATTGGTGAATAGTTTTTTTTGGAAATCTTTGTAGAATATTTGTGAGTGTCACTGCATACCGTCTGTTATTATTATGATTACGGTTGTTTACCCAGGAAAGCCTGAGTCTCAAAACTTTGACGAGGGTCCTACAAAATGTTTGCATTGGGAGGTGATGTTTGTTGTGTTAATCCCAATTAAGTTATTTGCGGTGTAATATTTGAAATTTGGAAAACTTGGACCGTGGTGCCGGCACACAATTACCTAATCTTTTTTGAATGGCATCACAGGATCTGCAACATGCATCGTGAAGGAGATGTCACAATAGTATATCGTGGTTGATACACCCGCGCAGTATTGACTAGTGCAGACGCTCGGTTTGCACCGCAGACCTCTGCAACAAGCGGCGAATGCGTTACTGCTGAGACGTGCCATCTCCCTCAGTGCACGCCGGGCTGCCAGCTCGCGCGCTAACCCTATTAATTGCACCATGCCTTCTGGTGTGACTCTGGCTATAAAGAAACCTTTCACCTACTGGCCCGGTAAGTTTTGGGAGAAGAGAAGCGAGACCCGAGAGGGAAGGAGCACGTGGGGGAGAGTGATTGTGCTCGGCGTTGGGCGGTCGTGCGTGCCCGGGCAGCAGCCCGGATCCGGAGCGAGCGGGCAGCGCTCATTCCGGTTTGTCCGGAATTTCTCAACTGTGCGCGTGACTCGAGGTTTGCAAGCGTAGAACGTGCCCAGTCTCCCCGTGAGACGGCGCTGCGTCAGGCCCAGCGCAGCCAGGCATGGCAGCTCATGCGGTGGCTCTCGCATCTCGTTTTATTCTCAGTTTTTGCGATCTTTGTTATTCTCCTCGTGCTTAACTTGTTTTTATGTTGCACGTGCTTTAGGCAGAATCCCAAAGCCTGACGTGGTTTTATATAAACAATACTTTTTTTTAAATCACAATTTTGCTCCCCTTTGTTTCAACATTGTTCACAAAAACAATGATCCCTCCAGAAGCCCTTTCTTGCCAGCTGAGCCACACCTTATTTCTGGCTCGGCCAGCCCTGGCAGAGGCTCATCGTGCTCATCCTCCCCTCCCTTCCCGAGCCTCCGCTACGTCGTCTGCCAAGATTTCCCTACTTGCCGGAGTGCAGTCGCCTCTAGAGGGAGTGGTGCCCGGTGCTCGGCGCCGTGCGCTCGTCCGCCAGCACGTCCGCGGACACCGGCCTCGCACTCGCCATGCTACGATCGTTCCGTCGTAAAAACGCCGAGCCTCTCTCAGTTTACCGGACGGGGTCGGTCGGCGTGACCGGGCGTGGGGGAAAATGGGTTAGTTCTCCTCGGCGACCGCAGCCTGTGGCATCCCGTCAAGAACGTCACCTGGGGCCGGAGGGACCAACACGCTCGCGCGCGTGGCGGCAGGCCATGACCCAATGCCGATGCGGAGGCCTCGCTTCCTGCCCTGGCCGGGGAGCGTGACACGAGCCACGCGTTATCAAACGGCGCTTTTGTCACAGCCCTAATACAAAACGCGCCGTGTTTCTGTTTTTCAGTGCGTTCTTGGTTTGGTTTCTTGGCTGGGGGCTCGGCTGAAACTTTGATGGGGGGGAGTGGAGGAGGGCGTTCCCATGGCTGCCATGGCTTCTCATGCCAGGTTCTGTTGTTATAGTGGTGAAATCGTACGTGGGGAATACATTGATTTTCGGAAACAGATCATTGTCCTTCGGCTCATATTTTGGCCAAAGGAATATATTTTTACAAATTCCAGTGGCCCGATTTCATGTTTTGCAATGACCCGTGCAGTATTAATTACATTTTAAGTAAACCCTTAATTTCCCAATCAATGTTTAACTCTGAGTAAATTACTGGCTAACTGTCAATGATAATATTTACATTTGAGAGAAATGTTTTTAGTTCAGATAATCCGTTCATGCACTGCCAAACAAAAGTTGTGACGAAGATGGAAGTAGCTCTGGTGGCCTCAAGTTTGCGTGCCAAAATGTCAAGTTGGAGTGTCAGGTGTGGGAGTGCCATTTCACCCTCCCCCATGCATTAATACATTCACTCAGTCACTGTAATTAAACAAACGAGTCGGTTAAGAGAGAGCTGGGAACATGGGTACTTTCCCCAGGCATAACCTCAGTCGTTTGAGACTCGCTAAAGGCTACTCTCCCCTATTATCGGCAGTGAGCTCAGGTGATGGCATCTGACGTAAGTGCCAGAGCGAACAACCTTCTCTGTCCAGACTTGCCGTGCAATAACGAGCCGAGCTCGTTGCCAAAAAAATGAACTGGTTGTGGGCGCGGCGGAACATGCTGTTCAAACGCTGCTATAATGTCGGTTGCATAAAGCTGCCGGGGCTGTCGGGCTTGACAGGTGACGCTCAGGGTGGCTTCTCGCGGAGGAGCAGGGAGGGCCGCACGCTCACCGGAGGGGCGACAATGCTGGCACGGGCGTTCCATCCAGCGCTAGTTCCGTTTAGGCATCCATCCTCCCACCCTGGCGCAATTGTCAGCTTTTGTGGTTAGTTCAATTCCAGCGTTGATTCAGTGTGTGTGTCTTGTTTGCATTGTGTTGTTTGTACTACCTGATTTCTCTGAGCTTTGCTGTCTGTATCATTTGTACTGTGTTTGTCTCATGTACGTGAAAATCTCGCTTTGTCGGTTTTGTTTTTACGACTCATTTCAGTTAGATCTCTCGTTTGTTTTGTCTTTCTCTTTCCACCTTTCCCATTGCGCGAGTGTAAAAGTCAGTTTTTAACTCGTAATTGCTGAATCGTGACAGATGTATTTAAATGTCTGGAAAACAGTTGGCAGGAGTTGATTGAAAACAGTGCTGAGGAACACCTTGCCGTGTCGGGGAATGTGTGGGCAGCCCAACCGCATACCCGGGTGTCCCTGGCCGACTCTTGAAATGCGACATGGCTTACTGCAGCCCACAGGCCCAGGGGCTCGGCCATCGGGCACCGTAAGGGCCCTGTCACCGTAAGGGTCCTGTCACCGTAAGGGCCCTGTCCCTGCTTTAAAAGCCACCACTGTGCCGCTACCCACGCTACTTTGCTCGTCAAAGTTGGTGGCTGAATAAAGCCAGGAGTGTTGAGCTCTATCTCTCTGTGCGGGAGCCTGCGGCCGGCGCGTCGCTACGTTTGTAAACGGCGCCGCTTTAAATCCCTCCGAGGGATGTGACAGCGCAGTTGCACCACCAAACGCTAGAAAGTGAAAAGTCAATGATGACGCATTGTACCGTGCATGTGGCGCGCGCAACGCGGGGGGGGGGGGGTTCTGCGGTTCTTTATGAGCGTCGGGCCGCAGGGAGCTTTTCTGCAGTGTTACACCCGTCCATAGTCGGCGTGAAGAACAGAGGGCCGATCTGCTGTGTGTGAGCAATGCTTACAAGTGTCCACACGACTTCACGACCAATATTGTGTCGAGTTGCGCAGAATAGGCTGTTATGATAATGCACCAGGTTGCAATTGTTTTTATGGCGTGAACTTAAAAATGCATTTCACACGGTAGTCATCATAATCCAGTTAGAATTAAATAGGGATTGTTTGCAATGACAATTTTTGTGTGCGTGGGATCTGCATTAACATGTGTGCCTGTGTTTGTCTTTGTATATGTTTGTATAAATGAGGAGCGGTGTGGAACAGTGGTGCAGTAGTTGGCGTGCTACAAAACTGTTGACATTTTAATAAAAAAATTACTTAAAACCTTCGTGACTGCAGGAATTCATATTCTTTGGTACTTTCGGTAAAGTCACGTAGACGTTTCGATCGCAACACAAGCGGTCGACATCAGGCGGAGAGAAAAGGGGGGTTAAGCCTCTAAATGCAACTGTTTATAAAGGTTTAAAATGGGCGTGTTGCGATCGAAACGTCGTTAGTTTTTTTTTCTTCTATCTAAGTGACTTTACCGAAAGAACCAAAGAATATTTTAATTAAAATTGCCGACTACGGCTAACATCAGTGGCAAGTGATAATTGAACCAGTTCTGGACCTCCTTTAGGTCGACTTGGCTAACCAATACGTCACCAATCCACCAAACACCACACGCATGAACACGTGTGCACACCCACACAGCTACACGCACTAATTCACATACATAGACACGCACACAGTCTCGTCAATTAGCTGAGAGCCCAGCGGATTATGCGTGTGATGCATTCCCGCTCGTTTATGGTGCTGTTGGCACTGTAGTTGTGTGGTCTGCGTGGCTATACCTGGGTGTGAGCGATGGAAGCACTCCTGAGCTCTCAGGGCTTGATGTGAAGAACATCGATGACAATGTTAGGGGCTTCATTTCTCACTTAATATTTTATGGATCGCTGGTAGAATGGACCAGAGTAGCCACCTAGCCAAAGTGAGAGGTATTATGTATGTGGTGTGCAGGGCACAGATATATTTTCCGGGTCACCAAATCAGACACCTGTCTGAAATTAATTCCTCCTGATGAAGAGCATAAAATGTGCGGCAATTGTACAATCAATATGCATCTTCTTGAACGTCTTGTAAGTTGGCAGAGTGATAGTCAGTAAACGCAAAGTCCTTTTGTCAATCCACTGCTGGATTCGGGCTTCCCCATGCCGTGCGGGTCATGGGGATTCTCTCGTTTCTGGGGGTTGTGTGACCGTGCTTCACAGCACTGGTCAGTTTGGGATTGTCAAAGAAAGGAGATGAGAGTGGGTACAGAGAAGTACAGTACAATGATAGATTTCTTTTTTATACACAGCCATTAAAATCCCATCTTGCAAGGTTGTCACCCATCCAAGCACTATCCAGGTTCAGACCTACTTAGCTTCCAATATCTGATGATCGGGTGCATTCTAGGTTATCGATTAGACCATTGCCAAAAAATAACCTAAAAAATCAATGGTGGACGTATCACGAGTGGAGCCCTTCCTGCCATAACAATTGACAGTCTTCTCAGCCCTCGGCCGATTGCTCGAGTGAGCCTCGGAGCGTATACACTTAAATCTCCCACTTCAGGTAAAAATGCCCCTATTTCATCATTGTCAACAATACAGACAAAGCACCCGGGCGATGACGCCGCATCTTGGCCAATCGATCAAGATGTCAATCTGATAGTGTGACTGTAGCGCCCGTTGCATAATTACAGTAAACCTGCCTTAATTGTTTCTTTCTGCTTTGTTGAGACTGAGATATGAGGCGTTCATTGGCATGCGTGAATGAGTGAGTGGGTCCACTCGTAACAACACTGACTGGCGTCCTCACTGCAGTGTGCACATTTGAAGGAACAGGTGATATGTATCTGCTCTACCATTTACAATAACTTGGCACTTGACGTAATCCCCCTATACAACTCGTACAACAGATAGGTTGGCTACGTACAGTGCGAAAGAAGTTCGACATACGTGTGCGGGTGGCTAGGTGAGCAGTTTAATCTCATTGTTTAAACTGGTGAGTGTTAGACGAGTGGCAAATGCTTAGCGAGTGCCATGTGAGCGTTACGTTCATGTCACATGATCCTTGCAGTCTTTAAAAAGTTGTCACAAAGTTAAGATGCTGCCCGTCCCGTGTGCCACCCTAACTTGACACCTGTGCTCCGCTCACCATGAAAAGCATCCATGGCACGCGACCGCAGTGCTAGGAATCGCCGTGGGGGTACCGTGGCGGGCACAGGGGATCCGTCTGTCTACGTGGGGGCAGGGAACGCCCTGTGGGGGGTACGTGGATTTTGGCGCAGTCGCGACGTTTGAAGTTCCAGCGGGTGGGTCACCGTGACCAGACGAATGCCGAACCCTGGAAAAGTTTCCGAGCTCCATCGCTACCCGCTTGGGTTATATTTAAACTACGTTGTCAACCCCAATGTTAGCATGAGACCGTGTTGAAAGTGTGTCAAGTATATGGATATATAAAGTCCTTACGTGTTATACTTACGCGATCTAAACCAAAAACCTTTATTATGAATAATATTGGTCGGTAAATCCTACGTGTTAAACTCCTTAGAATGGTCAAGCAATCTGGTACTTGTGAATAAACCTGTGGTTAAAACCTGGATTCAAACGCACGGTCTCATTGATCTGTCTTCCGAGAACCCACTTTAAGCATAGGCAGCTGTCTGGATTTGAATCTGGGATCTCAGCAGTACAACAAATGTATAATGATATCTTTTATATAACAATGTTCATGCAAATTGTGTCTCACAGACAAGCTGGAACCACAGACAAGCTGGAAGGCTGCCAGGCAGTGAGCCAGCGCTACCAACAATTTATCTGCAGTTCATTATATATTAAGTTTTTTTCAGATAATTAGTGAGTGTTTTATTATACATGTGAGAGGAAACCAGAGCACCCGTAGAAGAACGACACATGCCAAGAGGCAACACTCTATCCCATGCAGAAGTGACGGATGATATCGGACTGTATCTTGCTGGCAAGCCAGGGTTATGGCAGCTCCATGCCCGTGGGAAAGGAGTCTTGCAAGACATTTGTCGTTTGCGTGATCCGCCAACCCTCACTACCTCCACAGTGCTGAGTTCGAGGTGGCGCCACCACCAGCTAAACGCTCGACCTATGAGCCACCTGGCCACCTCCCTGATTGAGAATGTCACCACAAACTAAATATCCTTGCTCATCGGTCATTGACGCAATGCAGAGCTCACAATTGTATGTACGTTCAACTTATTTCGCCATACGTAGCCAACCGTCCTCATCGGAGGTACGGGAAATGTATCGCGTGAAGAGACACAGTGGTGGAAAGCTGAGACTCGGTGAGCCTTTCCTCAATAAGCAAAGGGATTAATTTTACGGCCTTAACTTCATAATTTAAAACAATGTGAATTTTAACCGAAGATGTATTGTCATTTTCAAGTGTTTTTGACCAGTGTTCCTTCTCGGCTAATATTTGGAAAAGATGTGCATCAATGAGACGAACCCGCCAAGACTATCCTGGGTACACGAAGGGAATTGTCATTGTTGTTATTACTGATGGCCAAGCCGTGTGTGGCCAGTGTTGACGAGTAGGTCAAATACCCTCTCGAGGGGCTTTGCAGAGCTCTGTGCTGGAGGCACGTCTGCCAGCAGTCGAAAGGTGTTTGTTGTCTCCCGCACACGCGACCTGCTCCGGGGGGATGCTCTGCTGCCGCCATTAACTCCCCTTTGCCGGGTTTTGGTCACTGCAGGTTTACCGAGGCCTGGACATCATCACTAACAAGGTGACGGAAGAGGAGCAGAAGATGTGTCCTCACCACATGATCAGCTTCGTGGATCCCCTCGTCACCAACTACACCGTCACCGACTTCCGCAACAAAGCGCTGCCCATCATATCCGTCGTGCCGTACGACTTAAGCGGCCAAACCTACAGGATTGGCCAGCATGGGTCCGGGTGGTTCCAGAACATCAGCTTTCATGAAAATTGGGATTTTGTCCCCAGTTTAAAATGTACAGTCCTTGTGCTTGACTCATAATATGAGAAAAGGGTAGAGAGCTATCTGAGTAGTGGGTGAAGCTGACATCGCGTGAGGCTGACATCGGGAAGATCCATGAGGCGGCCATTCATAGTGAGGACGGTGCTAGTGGCTGAGTGGGCGTGGCCATGTAGAAGGACAGAGAGAGGGGCTGCCTACTCGCCATGTGTCCCAGCAGCAGCATATTACCTATAAAAGTAATGTTTTGTCTGTCTGTGCGTCTGTTTGTGGGTCTGTGCGTCTGTGGACGCAACTTGCCAAGGTGTCACCTCGGCCGGCTGGGCAATCTAGGCGAGGCCGGGGGCTCTGCACAGGACTAGGCCTCACCATGACACTTTGTATACTTACTAGATCCTATTATAGAGTTGGTATATCCTATTATAGAGTCGGTAGATACTACTGAATATTCGGTAGATGCTACTGTAGAGTCAGTAGATTCTGCTATAGAGTAAGCAGATACTGCTATAGTCAGCTGATACTATTATAGAGTCAGCAGATACTGATATATAATTAGTAGTTACGACTATAGTCAGTAGATACTACTATAGATTCAGTAGATACTACTGTAGAGTCAGTAGTTACTGCTATAGAATCGGTAGATACTGATATAGCATTAGTAGTTATGACTATAGTCAGTAGATACTATAATCCAGTCAGTAGCTACTACTGGGCTCAGGAGATACCACTGTACAGTCAGCTGCAACTACAGAGTCAGCAGATACGACTATGGAGTCAGTAGATACTACTCACTCTATTGTATGTGGGGTGTGTAAGTATATATGCCTATGCGGGGATAAAAACATTTTTTTAGAGGGGGTGGATCGACAATTTTCAGAAACCTTTTAATCAACTGTTTACCCCCCACTTTCTATATCTTTTTGGACTTCTGCAAACCTCTTATAATTTTGTTGATGGATAAATGGACAAACGGAATGCAGAGCAGATGGTAAGAGGGCAGGTCTTGGAAGTCGCATGCCCGACCCTGCAGCAGCTGCGGGATCTGATGGAGGGGAGAAAGCGCTGGCGCGGTGCAACTTGGCTTCAACGGCTTCGGCCGTGATCACCTCCCATTCTTGAAATGCAAAAAAAACGTTCTGTCCTACCTGAGCAAACCGTAACATTTTACAATCAAGACTCCTTGACTCTGCCACATTGAAGGCCTCTTTGCAAAGAGGAAGCTGCCCATCGTGGTGGGAGGAACCAACTACTACATCGAGGCCCTGCTGTGGAAGGTGCTGCTTGACTCGAAGGTAAGGCACTGCACCAGTCGGGCGTGCAGGTGATGGGAACGCACCTGTCTTAAATAAGCATCATTCTTTTCAAGTGTAATTGTCACCCAATATGTCACGAGTCCAAACTTACCGTTTGAAACTCGTGTAGTGCGGGAACGTCCACCAAAGCACATATCAGAGCTACTGGAGAGATCCCTTCAAGTTACTTCTGGTTGACATACTCAGGGTCAGCACTTTTCCACCTGCCCTGCTACAGAGAGTAATTTTTGTTACATCGATATTTTTAATTCGCAAAGCTAAAATGTAGGCACCTAACAACCGCAGCTGCCACACAGCTCCTGGGGGGTTGTTGGAGCATACTTTACCACACTGGTCACTTCGGGTTGGTGAAGTCGCATGGCAGGAGTGGGGCAGGACTGCGCCACCGCTCCACCAATGTAATAAATAATAATTAAAGTTCACCCAGACGCCAGGGATGTTTAGCATGGTCGCCTACGTACGGTGCGAAACAAGTTCAACATACAAATGCCACGCAGATGTAGCATCGCTCCCGTTTGTTGCGATCACGGTTGTGAGCGGTGCGCCAACCCTTGTTGCAGGTCGACCGAGCCACGGCGGAGGAGGGTGGCAGCGATGGTTGGCGCGAAGACCGGAAGGAGGCTCTGGAGAGGAGCGACCCCACGGAACTCCACCGGATGCTGTCTGAGGTCGACCCCGCCATGGCCGCCCGCATCCACCCCCACGATGTGCGCAAGTTGGCACGGTGCGAGTCTCCCCACGCGCTCCCCTGTGTTACTCACTGTCCACCCCGGGCCTGCCAACTCACCATACTCCACCCGCCCTGGCATAGAAACCTGGCCGGGGCAGTTCCACGGTTCTATTTATGGGTGTTGGCACCCGCAAGACTCTTCCTATTCCTATGCATAAAGAGTTCCCCACGGGCATGGGAACCATGCGCAGAGAGTGCTTTTGAGAAGGGCACAGAGAGCCCACCCTTGCCACACATCTCCTCTCGAACCCATGACCCACTATTCACATCTTTGTACCCGTGACGGCGTGCAGAGAGGTCTAGCTGCCTCGTAGAACGTTTCCTCAGTCGTTGTCAATTACTCTGCAGATCTAATTTTCCAGAACATGTCAGACACTTTAAAGGTGTGGGTATTGATTGGTATAATCATAAAGTGTATTTTTAAATCCTTTATATTAAGTTCGCTTGCTTGCTTGCGTGCTTGCTTGCGTGCTTGCTTGCTTACGACCGTGCAAATCTTTCGGTCGTTTTTTAACCCACTTCCCGTGATCCAATCGAGCTGACATTTTCCACACAGACTCGTTGTGACAGACAATTATGTTCGTGAAAAAAAAAATTTATTTTACATTTATTCAAATAGAACTCATTCATGGCTTTGGCTGAACGTCACAGTATAGGAGCCCAGAGCGTAACCCCTCCACAGGCCGTGGCGGAGTAGCGCAGTTGGTAGCGCCCTCGCTTCCCATGCCAAAGATAGCGGGATCGATCCCCGCGTCCTCCACAGGCGAATATATTTTAAATCCTTTATATTAAGTTTGCTTGCTTGCTTAGGACCGTGCAAATCTTTCGCTCGTTTTTTAACCCACTTCCCGTGATCCAATCGAGCTGACATTTTCCACACAGACTCGTTGTGTGTGACAATTAATTTTCGTGAAAAATTTTTTCCTAAATTTTACACTGTTTAGGGAAAACAAATTAAATATTTAATTACCAATTGCTTAATACTGGCAGACAATCATCTTACCCATAGATTGCAGCCATCTCAAGCCAGAGGACAAGAGGACTCTAGCCGCCACACATATAAAGGATTTAGAGTGAAAAACTTTGTTTTTACGGGTTTACTTGTTACTTGGGTATAGTATATCCTGTAACATAGCGCTGCCTTGCTGTGGCAAAGACGTTTGAGTGCCATGTGAACGTGGGTCGCCCACTGGATCCATACCATACGGGTGAGGTACTCAAGAGAGGCGAGACAAAACAACCAGCGCGGTTAAATATGCTCACATTCCCCTCACCGCCCATGACCGACGCACCCAAACCACAGTCCTCAGTCCCGCAGCAGCTCTGGATCGACCAGCCAGGGTATCGGCCAGGCCGGTGAAGGAGCGCAGGGGTGCTGAGAATGGCAGTGCACAAACAACCAACCAGGCCTGCAATTGGATAACGCCTTTTTACACCTCTCTTTGTAAGAGGGAAAATTGCTCACAAAACGCCATGGTGTTGGATGCTCCATCTTCGATTTGTTTCTTCTAGTGCCGGGATGCTGGTGGTGCGTCGTCTTTCAGGCACGTGCCACGTAGTTGGCTTATTGCACGAATTAACCATGTTTTTTAAAATTGCAATATCGCCTTCACCTTGATACGTACACACGTTGTCAGTCATGTGATGCTACACGCTGGACTATGAGGATGCATCATTTGTCACGTGCCGATGTCCCACGATGATTCCCACTGGGATTTTTGCACAGAGCGTTGATATTACGGTGCTTTTTCTGGAAGACTTTGCTGTTTTTTCCTGGATTTTTCTGTTGCGCGTAGTCCCTTTAAGATGTTTCTTGTTCGTGTTTTTGTTTGTTGCGGTTGAACCCGATTCAAGAGCCGAATGGATCACAGGGCTACAGCTAATACATGAACTGAATGTTGAAATTGCTGCGTTAAAATTAAATAAATGGCTGATTAATTTTACACTTTTACTTCAGTAGGTCGCGCTCATTTCTTGTTGAACGTTTCTTTGTTGTGGTCCTTGTTCCATATTGCATAACTTTTCATTTGTCTTGGCAGCAGGCCCTTTATGATTCTTTATCACTCTTGAAAGGCAAACATCCTGGGCATAAAAGCTCATTGTGCGCAGTCATGTCGGATTCTAAGTAATAAATATGCAAGCGGGTGAAAATCCATCTGCACTTGAAGTAAATGTATCAGTCCATGTACCCTACTGGTCTTCCAGACAGATGACAAGCATGAATTTAAGCAGCGACAAACTAGATGGGTTTCGACCTTCAGGGTCTCATCAGCATCAGGGTGGCCCAGTGGTAACATTCATGCCTCGGCAAGAAGCGTCGGGGTTCGATTACCGACTCGGGCACCTTTCTGCGCGGAGTTTCTAAGTTCTCTTTCTGTGCTGTGCATGGGCTTCCTCTGGGTTTTTTGGTTTCCTCCCATGGCTAAAAGAACCCAGTACAATGTAACTGGTATTGGCCAAACATCACAGCGCTGAGAAATTACTCATTAAAATGGGATTGAATATAGCAACAACAGCCCCTTCTGTTAAAACTTGGGAGGACCCTTCAGCAAAAGGGTATTGAAACTCTGTGAGGCTTTCCTGGGTAAACAAACATAATGATAAAATAATAATCGGCAATCAGGCCTGTTTAAAATCCTTGGTCACTAATATTTGACTCCTACTTGTCTCTTGTGCGCTCACCTGGTTAAACAAAATCAACTTAAAACAAATGCTGCTGCTGCTTCTGTGTTGCGGCTGTTATAAGGCAGAGCACTCCACTTAAGCCGTGGGGCCGGTTGTTAATATTTAACCGGTCGTTTTTCCGCTTGGGATGTTTGCACCGTGGCTCTCCCGCTCGTCCAGGGCAGCTCTGCTGACACATTTTGGGAAATGATTAATATTTTTCATGCAAAGTAGAGCAGCGGTATCACAGAAACAGGAACCAAAACTGAGAAGGGCACAAATAAGCGTAATAAGATACCCGCCTGGAATTACATTGAGAAGCACAAAGAAACATGTGGATGAGAGATGACACGCAAGTTGGTGACATCATTCAAAGTGTTAATGAAAGTGAGCGGGCCGATGGGTCAAGAGTAGTGACTGAGTGGCAGCCTCTAGAGAGTGCAGCGCAGGTGTTGGGTGGATTGTTGCATCGTAAGATCGAGAGAGACGGCGACGGTTTTAGGAGCTCATCATTCAGCGGTGGATTGGTCGTGGCTGATGATCATGGTGATGAAACCACTGATTCGAACAAAAACATTTTAATTGGACACCCAAGTGACATTGCTCGTGCGATTGTGCAGGAGCCTGCAGGTGTACGAGGAGCTGGGAGTCCCGCACAGTGAGCTGCTGCTCAGACAGCAGCTGGAGGAGGGAGGGGGCCCACTCGGTGGGCCGCTGAGGTTCCCCCTCACCTGCATCCTGTGGTTACACGCGCAGCAGGATGGTAAGAGGGGAGCACCGGGGGGGGGAGTTGATTGGCTCTGAGATGAGAGGTGCCGAGCCAGCGCTTGTAAGATCCTGGGTTGAAGGCACAAGCCACAGTCGTGCGACTGTGGCCATGTAACCCAAACTATCCACCACACAGCAAACTGCTGTAGTCTGCGCTCCTTCAGCGGAGGAATAGCAGAACTACATAAACTTTCCTGAAGCTGTTTTGTGGCTAGCAGACCTCAACGTTGCCATCTAACTTCTTAACATATCGCCATGGACAGGAATAGATATAATTACCATTAGCAATTCCCTCCTGGCCGCGCAGCGCGGTGCAGAAAGCGTGCGTCCCACAGCCCTTCGGGGATTGCTAATGTGCATAATAATAACAAACAAGTCGAGTGGACGGCGACACCAACTACAAACAGCAGTTTATACCAAGGTACAAATCCTAATTGAAATCGGATTCTCAAGTGCAGTGAAATGTTGGTTGCAACCCGGTCACCAGTGACTTCTATCGAGACCCTTTGACTTCCATAGACTTGGATGGATTTGCAGAGAGCTATAGAATTACAGAGAGATCGATAGACTCGTAGAGATCTCTGATTAAACCAGGTTTTCAGGTGTAGTGAGTTCATCGTTTCAGCCTGCTCACACATGACTGACTGTACGCAAAAAGCGCTTCACAAAAAATGGTTCAGCACTTAACTTGGCTAAATTCCAAGTCTGAGAATAAAACACATTGCTTTTGACTCTTGCGATGAATGTTAATATTGGAAGGCATAGCTGGTGGGAAAGTGGGCACTTGGAGGTAGCTCTGTGATATCTGCTTCTGTGGGATGTTGTCAACACGAAGGGCTGCGCTGCTGTTCAAGAGATCTGAATGGACTCTTGATCTCATCATGCGAGGCTGATTGTGCAATCTCGATAATATTGGGGAAAGTGAAAGAAGAATGTTTACCAAGAGAAAGAAGCTCCAGGCATCTCTAGCCCCGGGGCCTCCCAGCTGTTCCCAGAAACACCGCCGCTTATGGAGGACGCCTCCAGCCACGCCTGTGATGGGGACCGCCTGTAATCCCGGCTAATTGTCATCGGGGCCTTGCTCTTAAATAAATAATCACCCGCCCTATGGAACAATGATGCTTTAATGAGTAATCGCCCGTGCTAATAGATGCTCGCTTAATCGGTTTTAATTATTGAGTATTACGACGAGACCGCCTTTAATTGGATTGAATTGATGCTGTTATCTTGCGCTCTAATTAAGACAATGTTTCAAGGGTTCAACCGTGCCTGCCACATCCCACGAGTATGGACAGAGGGGGAGAGGAGTGAGACGCACCACACACACGCACCTCTCCAAGAGCTGTTTGTCCGCATTCGCTCAGCAGCTCAATGCGAGGAGCATCTCAATGCCACGGGTGTGTGTTGGCATGAGTGCCACCCCTAGGTCTACTCAATCTTAAATAAATACCTTCTGTGGTGTAAAAACATCAGCATGACGGGGCAAAGGAAACCGGGCGTGATGCTGTCTAGCCACCTCTTCGTGTGCCATGCTGGCTGTTATAGGTGCTTGCTAACAGAACTTGCCCAAACAGTTTTTTAAGGCTGTATGGGGAACCTTTGCCTTTGTGTGCATGTGCACACAAACACACACACACCCCTCGCGGGGTGCTTGGGCAGTGCTCGGAGAACGTCTGGATGCGCGCGTGGAGCAGATGATGTCCCAGGGCCTCTTATCGGAGCTGTCGCTCTTCCACCAGCGCCACAACCAGCAGCGACTCGCCAGTGGCAGGTAGGCCGAGCCCGGGGCACGCGCGTGCACACGCACAGCTCGGTAATCAGAGCCGGCCGGGACGGATGACACCGTGGCTAGGGTTTCCATGATATACTTTTTCATGAAACGATAAAAAGTTAACATTCACGTCTGCAATTTGTTATTCGGGCAGAGGCTTTATACGCATCGTTGCGTTATTGTTTGTGTACACCTTTGTTCATTAACACACAACCTCAAGCAGCCAGCAATAAACTGCACTATCAAACTGATCTCATCGCTCCATCTCCCCGGTGGTCATTCTCTCAGATTCATTCCATTCCTTGCCTGCCACTCCGTTATTATATTTGACCATCGGCCGCACACTTTTCTTCACGGTCAACCTTTGCTTATGAGTTGGTGGTACAAAACAAGGCTGTGTGCATTACACATGCGGTGTCGTGATGTCACGTGGCATGCAAGGCATGATAGGAGGACTGATGCAGTGGTCACAATCGCACCATTTACTGTGTAGGAATCCCCGTTTGTGTGCGATGCTGTTACTCTTATTCATATCCAGGTTGCACTCACCTTTCTGTCTGATGAGTTCATTATCGAGTGCAAGGGTCAGCCCAGTGCCAATGTTTGTATAATTCTATATCTGCTATTGCATCTTCCACCACTCCATACTCTGTCTCGATAACAATCGTTGCTCCTCCACTCCTCCTCCCCTCTTCCTCCTCGTCACAATCACCATTTTGTTATAAAAGTCAATCCAAAGGAAGCAAAATCTAATTTGCATTTCTTCCCCAGTGAGCAAAGGGGTTGTGCAACACCCGCATAGTAAACTTGGCAGGGGGAGAAGCGTAGGAGGCGTGCGATGAGTGCGTTACTTGGCCACTGATCCGCGCTGCACCCACATTCCCGCGCCCGTCACGGGGACGCGGCCACGCGGCCCGCGTCTTTACGCGACCACGTGGAGCTGAGCGGCCGTCCGTGGGCTTCCGCGCCCCACCGATCCGATTGTTCCCGCCGCCTACGGAAGGTGTCTCAAGCCACGCCGCTGCGGATTCACTGACGACCGGCAGTATCGCGGAGGGTCGCTGCCTCTATGGTGCAAAATAAACGAGGACATGTGGCATGAAGAAGAATTTCTCACAATACCAGGATAGGGGATAACTCCTGTACACGTAAATGAATGGTCTCCAGCGGTGCGTTATTGTTACTACGCAACGCAATAAAACTGGGACTTTTGACGTCCTGGGAAGACTGACAGATTTCCTACAATGGTTGCCTCAATGAGAGGATGGTTCTGGGAACCCGAGCGTTGGACCGGTCGAAGATGTTTACACCGCCGAGCGACGATGGCGCCGCTTCTCTACGGCCCCCTCACGTGCCGTCTGTTTTGTGCACCTTCGGACAAATTGTTTAATTCATTTATATTCCGTAATTGCGATATTTGAATGAGATGTGGGTGGGATGGGGGTTGGTGTGGGGAGTGCGGTGCGTTGGCATGTTTACTCGGTCGCCATGGCAACAGCCGGCCGCATCAGCTTGCCTGTGCAGCGCCAGGCAGGTGCTTGTCAGCCTTGGCAGCAGCTGCTTGGTGCAGCAGCAGGACCAACAGCAGCATCTTTTATTCATTTATTTCATACCTCACATGGGTGTAAAGCAAGTCCCAGACTGTTGCTAATTCAATCAGCACAAGTGAGGAGAGCACTGGGCACAGGTAGCACAGGTAGCACAGGTAGCAGCACGCATGAAGCTCGAAGCGCAACACGTTTTCTAGACCACCGGTGATAACATTGCATGCACCGGCGCACGCGTTGCACATCGGTGGCTCGGCGGTAGAGCGAGCGGCTCTGAATAGGATGGTTGCGAGTTCCATTCCTGGCTGGGGTTGACTCGGCCCATCATCCCTCCCTCCTGGTGTCTATAAAATTGGAACTACTTTGTGGTGAAGTCAACAGTGGTTGTCCTATGGTTAGACCTGACCCTATCCATAGGTTTGTGGAATTTCCACCGTAAACAGGAGATGAACACCACTGCCTCAATATTAATTTATGCAGGAAATCTGTTTGACTTGAAAAACAAACCAACGCTTGTGGAGTAAACTAAACTGACATTGAAAACGTGGCCAGCGGCTCGTTGTGACTCGTCGCCTGCCTCGCTCACTCGCCCCCGAGACCTCGGTGGGAGTCGCGCCAGCCAGCTGCGAGGACGCGGTCCCCGTGCACGGCGCGCGACGCTTGCCTCTGGCTTTGCAGCTGTAAGAAAGAGGGCTGGTGGCGTCGCTCCGCCACCACGCGTGGCTTCCGCTCGTGAGCTGTGATTGTGCTTGGCCACAGTGTGCGAGCGCCTGTTCCGCTCCGGGGTCGTGTCGGCATCGTGGCGGCGTTGTGAACTCTCTTCCTACATCCCTGCAGCCTTTCCCACAGTCATGTTTGCTCTCCTGCAGGCAGTTGCTCTCCTGTACGATTCATAATTGGTTTATTTTTTAGTTTGATTGTGTAGGTATCATGCTAATGTTTAACTAAATCTCCACCACCCGACAGAGCCAATGAAATCAGGTTGTCACATCTTAGGGCAAATATCACATTTTATTTGGTTTATCAGGAAAACCGGTGCAATGTTGAAAATCCGAATAAAATATTTGGCAATTTTTTCGAAACAAAGTTTGGCTGGAGATTACACTGAGCATCATTAGGCGCTAACAAAAGTTCAGCTTTCCTGTGCAGGAGTTCGCTAAAGCGACTGCACTTAAACCAACACAGGTGCTGTTGTAGTTGAGCCTTGGTTGTTGAACTATAGCAGAACAAGGACATCTTGCTCAGGGGAGGTGAGTCACACGGTTCTGAAGCGGCGGTCAGCAAGACTTGTTTTGAAACTTCACACTTTCGCCTGGGTTCACCTCGTGCCACCAGGAAGCGGTGACTACCGCTTCTCAAAAGTCCTCTCCGAGCTGCGCGCGAGCAGTGACCACGCAAAGGAGGAAAGTGCCCCGATCGCACGGCGTCTCTACTCTGCTCGACCGCGTGTGCGTGCTCGCAAACGGTGAAACGTGGAACACGCGTGTAAACCATGCCGCGTGCCACCCACGCCAAGTGTCACCCACGCCAAGTGTCACCCACCATGAGCGCATGGTCTCGTGCCTGCCAAGGTTCCCGAGATTTCATCTTTGACCATCATTACGTGTAATCTTATTTGTATTTTTGTATTTTAAGATTGTTTAATACGGCTAATTAACATTTTACATTCGCATTTTATAAGGTCTACTTATTCATAATTTTAAAGATTTTAGCCCTTCGGTATTACTTATACTTTGTAACGTTAGTATAGTTAGAGTGTATACAATTTATATAAGTTAAGATTCCTACTTGTTCAATGTATGCACCGTCCCGCCATAGTGAATTCCTTGTTTGTGCAAACTTACATGGCGATTAAAACCGTTTCTGATTTCTGATTATTCTGATTCTGATTACCAACCTTGTTCAGTCTACTGCTGGATGAAGGCCTTTCCAAGCGGCCGTCATCATGAGGAACCCGCGATGTAGTCTGTAATAATCCATGTAACATCTGCACACGCGTTGATGTCGTCGCTATGTTTTCCGAGTGGGGGTGTTTGATCGCACCTCACCTCACCGAGTGCCGAAATATCACTCGCCACTGACGTTAGCCATAAAGTGAACTCAAACTCGGATCATTGGGTTCGGAGCACGATTATTGTGGGCCTTGTAACGCACGACGTATCGTAACATCGCCGTATCCCAGCCACCCTTGCGCCCACTTGCCCTGCCACTTCCTCTACCGCCACCCCCCCACCCACCCGGCCCGCTCCCTCCCCCCTTGCTTGGCCGCCGGTCCGTGTCGCGCCACGCGCCTCACTGCGATGTGACCGAGACCGTGATGGCGCCCGCGTGTCCCCGCAGCCATGACTATGAACACGGCCTCTTCCAGTCGATCGGCTTCAAGGAGTTCCACGGATTTCTGACGCGGCCAGCGGAGTGCAGGCCCGAGCAGGAGGCGGCCCTGCTGCAGCAAGGTGATCTCCAGCTCTCGCACCTTCCATTGCATTTCGCATCCTTGTGATCAGTTTAAATGAGCATAATAACAACGTGGCGATTGTTAGGTGGAGGAGGGGGAGGGAGGGGAGGGGAGGGAGAGGGGGTGGAGGCAGTGGAGCGACACAGAGATGGACAGTCCAAGATCGGTGGACCAAGGGGAAGACGGGGGGGTCCATCTGAGAAACTTTCAGTCTCCTATGTCACCGGGCACGACCGGATGTGGGATGCAGGTGCACATCAGCACAAAATCGAGCGAATCGCGGAGCGTTACTGCGGGTGGAGCGGTGGTGCAGTGACCGGCGCACTGTCTGCCGATGACGAGTGACACCTGAACCACTTCACCAGCCCGCATTGACCGGCGCGGCAAAGTATGGTCAAACAACTCCCGTGACCAACTTGCCTGGACAAAGCTCGGATGAGCGGTCGCCGTGCGTAAAATGTGTGTCGTGGGCTGCTGTGAGCTACGTTGTCAAGGCGGCAGTGCGGCAAGATCTATTATTGTACTGTGCTTTGCTTCAACGACTCTGCTCCCCGTCTTCGCCGACTCACATCGGCAAGTGTGGTGGAGTACGACTGACCTGGTGTGATGGATGCCATAGTTTAGAATTTCATTGACAGAGCAGCTGAAAATAAAAATTAGTCATTTTACGATAGCTGAGCAAAGCCGTGAATTGCGCAAGAGTCGCGGTGACATCAACAGGGGCAGAAGACTTATCTGGAAATGAGCGGTGACTGCGGATGGATATGGTAAAGCGGAGGGAGGTAGAGAGGGGAGGGAGGGAGGAGTGGGGGGGAGGAGTGCACTCGCTCAAGTTGCTTGGGAGCCACTGACATTTGGAGGCTGCCAGTCCTAGCAGGGTCAAGCTGACTCAGAGCCAGGACATCTGCACGGTGTTCGCATCAAGATGATTTTCCACCCCTGCGACGGCGACTGTGGCGCAGGTCCCAGCAGCCCAACGTTGCAGACTGCGCTGCTCCCGGCGCTCATAAACGGTGACCGTTTATCTCCATTAACCAACAATAAAACGGGAGCCTAAGTGCGCACATGCGTTCACTGAATAAACGTTTATCATCGCTAATGCATTATTGCGTGAACAACAATGCGCATCGTTGCATTGTTATTTACATTACTGGCCTGCAACTGCTCGAGCCACATTTTGTGAATGAGCCTCCGCTAAAGGGAGCTCTCGGGAGCACCTCTGGAGATGATTTTGGCCTCACGACGTCGCAGGTTCGTGGCGGCTGGGGAGGCCTTGATGTAGCAGTGAAATTATTGAGGTTGATGATGATAGTGGGGACCCATTTACAACTTACTGAGCGTAACAGGGAGGACAGGAGCTACCAACGGCACGAGGGTTTGATCAAGCAGGAGGTGCGGAGGCGGTGGGGCCGGGTGGCCGATGCCACGCCCGGCCGGGTGCCCCGTGTAGGGAAGGCACGTGGGAGGCATCTCCACCCCAGCGCTCTCTGCGGGCTGCTCGCATGGCTGCCTCGCAGCAGCGCAGTGGGAGCCAGTGGGAGCCAGTGGGAATCCAGTGGGAGCGTGTGGGAGCCAGTGGGAGCCAGTGGGAATCCAGTGGGAGCGTGTGGGAGCCAGCGGGAGCCAGCGGGAGCCAGCGGGAGCCTGCGGGGGCCCAGTGGGAGCCTGTGGGAGCCTGTGGGAGCCTGCGGGAGCCAGTGGGGCCCAGTGGGAGCCAGTGGGAGCCTGTGGGAGCCTGTGGGAGCCAGTGGGGCCCAGTGGGAGCCTGTGGGAGCCAGTGGGAGCCAGTGGGAGCGTGCTCGTGCGTCGAGCAATGGGGTGGGAAGTGCGGATGGCTCCGGGTCAAGGTGGCTGTGAATGTCTTTCCATCGTTAATTTTAGGTAAAATCAAAACTTATGTGGGAATTATTGAGGCAGTGGTTTGTTGCATGCGAGCCCAGTGACCCGGGTTTCATTGCCGGGTGCGGCTAAGATCAGTGGAGGTTATCTGATGTGGTCGTGGGCCTCTCCTGAGTCGGTTCAGCCTTAAATGAGTACCTGGTGCAGTGTGTAAATGTCGGAAATGTGGTGCTGACCACACCGCTTGTTTGTGTGCCGTGCCAGCCTTTGTAGGTACCCGCTGGCCACCAGCTGCCCTGTAGTCTGAAAGGCTAAATGGTCATCTTTGTCGATGTGCCTTTACAATGATTGGTCTCTTGAAAAACCAAGTTGTTCCACGCGTGAGGGAGCTTTCTGGAACGGTTTATGCGGTTGAGCAAAACCATTCTCGCATCGGGATGTGTATCAGATTCACGCCCCAATGTGGTTTTTTTTTGCGAGTGTTGTGGTCTCGGCAGGCAGAAGTGGTTTTATTGCGACACGGGAAAGCTTTCCACATTCTGTTCGTGTGCGATCGAGTTGAGGTTTTTGTAGTCGCTCTCCTCACCCCGCCTCCACCCCACGCCGCACTCGGCCAGAGTCTCGACCTCCGTTGTCAGAAAGAATCGTTTGATTCTTTCCCCCCATCGCATAAGCAGAAGTGCCTTGGGGGTTTTCAAATGAGGCAGGGAAATCAGAAATCTCGTTCTGCAGCTTCGCAGTCACAAGTCGTGTCACCGACTCGCGCCGGCTGACGAGAAGAAGGGTGGAGGGGTGCGGTCGCCGCCTTCCGAACCGGCTCGGCTGTCACGCCGTGATTCGCCTCCTGGCGATTACGTGCAGCCATGGAGACGCTGACCTGGCCCCCACGAGCATCGCCTTGTAATTCTTGGTCACCAGTTTAGACTCCCGTGTTCTGGCCCCCAAGAAAACTTGGAGTCAGCTCTGTCCTGGGCCAAAGGGAAGCTGGCCGCATCCTGTGTGCATGAGAATTAGCCCCATCCTGGGCCCCATCAGCGCTACCTCCATCCTGGACTCCAGGTGAATCACGTCTGTGTTAATCTCACGGGAGTCTTCTTCATCCTGGGTCCCAGTGGAATACGCCTCATTGTGGACCCCAACGGAGCTGGCTCTGTCCTGGACTCCCAAGAGCTCCGTCATGGGCCTCGGTGAAGCCAACTCCCTCCTGGGCCCCTTTCAAGCTGCCTCCGTGTTATGCCCCACTCAATCTGGCTGTGTGCTGGGCCCAAAGGAATCGGCCTACGGAGGGCAATTGGCTCAGTGAAAGTGCGAGGTTCCGGCTGGATTGACACTAAGCGTTCTTCCTTCTCTCCCACCCGCCACCCCCGCCCCCTGTCCCTTGCAGGTGTTGAGGCGCTCAAACTGGCGACACGGCGCTACGCGCGCAAGCAGAACAAGTGGGTGAAGAACCGCTTCCTCAAACGTACGCTGCCTGCACGTTACACGCGGCTGCCCGGGGCGCGAGGACCCCCACCACCGGTTCGGTTACCCCACGCCTGCCGCGGACGTGAGCCGTCAATGGAAATCGAACTCGCGTCGCCGGCTTCTTAACGTGGTGCGCTATCCACTGCGCCATCACTCTTCTATATATTATTTTTATATCCTTACTGTTGTTCAAGTTCACTAAAGGCGGACAAAATATTGTACGTCTTCACCTCTGTCCTGTGAACGTAAACCACTGCGTGTTTTAGCCCAATTCCCGTTTTTGCGTCGTCTCTATATTTCTGGGCCACCCCCCTGACCCCCCATCCCATAGCCCCAGACAATCGAGAGTTGACGGCACTTCTCGTGATGAGATCTGCTCGTGGCTTAGAGCTGTGCGTTGCTCACAACGACGTCTCCGTGCCGGCGCGACCGAAGGGGCGGTCATAGTTTGTGTGTACGTGTCGCAGGTGGGAGGAGCGCCTGCTGGCCTGGTTCCATCGCTCCTCCTGCCTCCCTCACTGGTTTTGCACCAAGGGAAATAGTAGTGCGACTCGCTTGACCAACCCGCTCTTGTTGAATCAGGACAAAAACTATTCGGAAAGAGGTGTTGACTTACTGGCCACGGTCACTCCGCTATTGAGTTAAGCCCCACACCGCCTGCTGAGTTATGGGTTTTGTTGACTGTACTTCATCATGCCGGTAAGGGAGCCAGGCCCAATTAAGATGTCACTCGCCACTGATTGTGCGAGCCGGAGTTGAGAATCGGGCTCATGTCGACAGGTTAATAGTGTCATGCAGTCATCACTGTTTGACTGCTCCAATTCATTTATCGGATTTAGTTTCTTACAACGTTGCCAGTTTTTACCTGTTTCAAGGGACAGTTCTTTCTTTTATCGATTAAAACGGTTGCTTTAAACCGATTTGTATTAGTCATCATTAGCCATGATTAACCGACTGCTGGATGAAAGCCTACCCAAGCCATCGCCCATGTCCATCTCACAATGCAACAATCTAGCTCCTGCAGACAAGCTGATTTCACCGCTTCGTGGATGTAGTCTCATCCGTGTTCTTGCCTTTGGCTGCCATTCCATCCTTGGCCTCGACCACCGGCCATCATCCGTCCCTTGTAGGGTGACGTGTCCCACCCTAGCCCCCCCTACTTGTCCTTAACAGGCAATGGCGTCTCTCTAACTTGCGTATGTTTTCGGATCCGCACGCCCCTCCTCCTGTCGCTCCGTGTAATTCCAATACGGCAAGGCAGACTTTGATTGGCAGGGATATCGACGTGCCGCCCCCTCGCCTCCGAGTGTGGAGTGCGTTACAGTGCTTTTCAACCTACGGCCGTTGCTCAAAATGTTCTCCCGACGTGCGTGCGTAGGGGTTTGTCCTGGGCGCCGGGTGCCTGGGGTCGCCTCTGTCTCTCTTCAGATAAGGGGCCTCTGTTACTCTGCAGTAGTTCTTGGTGTGGTTTCAAGTCGGGATTGAATAATTCACGCCCTCCCTCTCCCGGCTATATTATGAATTGCCACGATTCGGGGTGACAATTAAATTCAAGAACCAGCGCAGTGTGTATTGTGCTGTATACTCGTACGGTTTTACAGGAACCCATACATAGACTTACGTGGAGAAATACAACTCCATCGCTTCTTCCTCTATAGAATAAATACGCCTACCGATCTTCGCACAGTCGCGTTTACGCACCGTGTGGGTCCGCGTCGCGTAGACACGCAGTGTCTTGTAGCGCCGCGGAAGGCAAGCGCAAGGGGGCGGGGGACCAGCATCGTCCCGAGACTTCCCCCTGCACACGTGTCGGTCGCGCTCCGTTGCTCGAACGCGCTGCTGTGTTTACATGTACACAGTGCCGCGTGTGTTGCTGTGCGGGCGTGTCCACGCGCGCTGCATTCTCGCTCGTCGGTGAGGAGGGTGCCCGCATCCTCGCTGCTGCTGCTGCCGTCGCGTGTAGAGAAAGGAGTGCCTCTGTGTTTACATATACACAGTGCCACATGCAAGTTGGCGTGTGTGTGGACCGGTTTCCCCTGCATTACATATGTGTGTACGTGCATACATATTGTGTGTCGAGTACTTGCACGTAAACATGACTTTGGTGTTTTTATGTAAACGTTAGCTGTATGTACACATACCCTTCAGGAAAGTCATCCGTGTGGAGCTCTGAATTATCTCCTCTGGTTTTGTCGGTTTTCTCCGGACGATTTAGTTGATTTTCACAAGCATGGCAGAACCTTTCCGGAAACAATCTTGAGACTTGGTAAAGCTTATATAATAAATAAATTACGTGTTTTTTTTCTGTTTTACAACCAAGGTCAAAAGAGTGCTCATGCATTAGCTCTGTCTATATGTAGTGCAGGCTCACAATAACTCTGGAAAAGATGACCCGATATCAATTACCTTTTAGTATAAAGTTGCATCGCTATAAAGACTTACCCTGTAGAATGCCAGCCGCATTGATCAAAGGGTTATCTGCCAAAATTTGGCAATGCAAATCCAGCGTGAAACGAATCGGCTGGCAGAGTGACGATATCGCGTGCACGCATCGCCTCCCTGTGACGTCATCGCACGTCGTCTTGTCAACGTGGCTCTGAAGGTAACGTCATTACCGCTCTCGTTTGGAAAGCGTGACGGAGTCCGTGCAAGTGCTAGATTTTTCTTCCTCGTATTTGGATTGCGTCTCCCTCTCGAGCAGAAGCGACCGTTGTTGTTGAGCTCCCGTTGCGTCACCGACGAGGCCGCTGACCTCGCCCTCTCCTCGCGACCCCCGACCCCGTAGGGCCCGGCCCCGCGGTGCCGCCCGTGTACGGGGTGGACGTAACAGACGTGTCTCGCTGGGAGGACACGGTGCTGGAGCCTGCGCTGCGCATGCTGAGCAGCATCGTGAAGGTCGGCGCCCACGACCTCTCGGACCCCACGACTTGCGCCGTCTTGACGAACGCTGCTCCGCTCGGTTGGCGCCTGAGGAAAACCCTCGTGGGCATGCGAATGTCTTTTTGTGGTTGCGCGCCACGCTATGAACCCAACATCCCGAGTGCAATTCCTGGCCATGACTCGTGTCAGCGGTGATTATCTGAAGCGGTCATGGGCCTTGCCTTGGTTGAATTAGACTTCAATGAGAACCTGGGGAGACAAAGGTGGCACAGTGTGGTGCGTCTCACACCACCCCTTCGTGCCCCATGCCGGCCTTCATAGGTGCTCGCTAATGGCACTTGCCCCAACAGTCCATTGAGGCTATACAGGGGACCTTTGTGTGTGTGTGCACGCGCGGCGCTGTAGGGTGAGACACCGCCGGTGGAGCCCCTTTGCCGGGAGCCGGTGGAGCCGGGGTCCAAACGACGACGCCACGATTGCTCTGCGTGTGGCCGCGTGGTGATGGGGGACGAGCCGTGGCGAGGTGAGGCACCCCCATCCCCCCCACATCGTTCCCAACGGCCACTCCGCCCAAACAAACAAGGACGACGACTCGCACGCACAGATTCTGTCACGGCATCCAACGTGCGTTGGTCTGCGGAAGCACCGATTGGCTGTGATGACGACTCGTTCTGGGCCGCACAGCGAGGTGACGTCACGCGCGAGATCTCACCGCGTTGGTCGACAAGGCTTTTCCCTTTGAGTGCTCTCTTAAATCGCTCGGCTTTGGCCGATTATGGTCACCGTGGCTGGTTTTCTGTGGTGAGTCCCACATCGCTACACAACTCCACTCTTGAGTTTAGGTGATATTGGATCAACTTCTTACAATTTATCGTGCCACCCCTGCCATGACGAACGGACGGAACGGCTCAAAAACCAAGGTCGGACGCGGTCGCAGAAGCGCGATTCGTGACGTCACGTCGACATTAAACCACCTGCTCCATTAAACCAACTGCTCCATGTATTCTCTAGGTGCTATCGTGTCTGAAGGTTTAACACATTGGTGTTGCTTTTGTTGTTTTCTCTCCACCATGTGGCTTGGTGATTTTATCGGTGTGCCCCACGTCAGGAAGTTGAAAGCAGTGTTGTTTTCTCGCTGAATCGTCGCGATACGTGATGTTATCCCTGCGCCACGTTGCAAAGATTAAAACTATTTGCTGTTCTTTTATAAACCGGTGGTGCTAATTGATATTATCGGTGCCACGCCAGGGCATTTCTCACGGCTGGCGTCGTTCCTTCTGCACCGCGGTGCTTCGTGACGTTAATGTCCCCCCTCCCCCCCCATCTCTGTCCAGCGCACCTCAAGTCCAAGGGCCACCAGCACCACTTGCGGCGAGAGAGGAACCCTCATGGTGATCGCGGGCGAGCGCACGACAGCGCAGCGACTCCCCCTGTGACGCCGCTCACCGAGGTCACGGCTACCTCCTAACGCCGACTTCCGCACCACGCCATGCCGCTTCACCGGAGACAAAACCCGAGACGAGTTCACGCGACCACGTGCACCGCTCTCCGTTCCAGACTTGTCGAGGTCTCCTTGACATTTTAGACCGCGTTCACACGGTGTGCCTTTTATTTTGGAGCACGTTGAAAGCCTTGCGGCCGCGAGAGCCGATTAAATGGTGGTTTTACGATGGGCCCGGCTCGCGACCGCGGAGTTAAGGATGAGCCGACGTCTTGTAAATGAAACCACACACGGGCACACGTCCCGCACGCTCGGCACGAAGGAATTGAGGAAGCTCGGCGGGTGGAGCCGTACTCCCGCACGGCGCGGGAACGCGGCACGACGGAGTCGCCGACACGGCACTGAGCACCCGGTACGGCCGCCTGCAACGTGGAACCCCACCCCACCCGGTCCATGCCGTGCCTAGCGATAGATGTCCGATGCACAGGGTTCACGGGGGCAGGGCGCACGTCACTTGGTTAAGCTTCTGCGGATCTGCTGGGCTCGTTGCTGGAGCTTTGTGCAGTGGGGGTGCTGCCGACCAGTGCTTGCTGGAGACCTGCCTTTGTCCTCGGTAGAGATGACGCGATTGCTGTCGACGCCACTCGGGAAGCACGTGCGTGTGAGGAGGGTTACCATGGAAAAACCTACATTCGTTTTTAACGCCGGCTCCCCGTTATCCCTGCCGGCTAAAAATAAAGCGCCAGTTACATTTTTAGCCATTTGTGGTCGGTGTCGTTATGCTTAGACGGGACGTCCGGCTGGAGGTCGCGGTCGACGGAGGCTGCCGGGTCACTCGAGCAAGACCTGGAGAGGTTGCGGGCGCCGCCCCCTGGGGAGGAAATGCCCACTAATTAGGCCGCTCTGCCAGAAAATCCCCGATTAGTGCACGAGGTGGGAGTGGGGTGTGCTTGCGTGGTGAGACTGCCACCCGGAGCTGGGGGGTGACGTGCGTGTGTGCACGTGACAACCAAGCGTGTGCTTGTTTACCACTACGAGTACGGCTGCTGCGTGTGCGGCAGCGTGCTGAGGCTGCGTGGTGGCACTGTGTGTGATGCTGCGTGGTGGCACTGTGTGCGGCAGCGTGGTGAAGCAGCGTGCTGAGGCTGCGTGGTGCCACTGTGTGTGATGCTGCGTGGTGAGCGGGAGCGCAGCGTTTCGCGTGCTGCGCTACGAACCCGACGACCCGAACCGGTGTGGCCTTCTCCTTGTGTCAAATCACCACCTGGTTCGGTGGACAACAGCACCTCCTCGTGTGCCGTGCCGGTGCTCGCTGACAGCACTTGTCCCAGTAGTATGAAGGCTGCATCGGGATATTTGTGTGCGACATCACCACCACGCTCACCACGCTTGGCACATCAAGCAATATTGCCACATCCTCACCGCATGTTCACTAAACCAACACACACCAACCGCTCCCTCGCCACACATTCACCCCACACGCAGTGGACACTCGCCACACCTGCCCTGGAGACTCGCCGCACTCGCCAGACATGGCACACAACGCACATTCACTCCTCACTCAACACGCACCCTCGCCACCCATTCGCGAACCTCGCCACTGCCCCCCCCCCCCTCTTGACAGGAACGTCTCCTTACCCCTCGCACAGCACAAGCAGCACGTGGCTGTGGTCCACCAATCGAGACGGGGCTTTGTGCATCAGAGGGTCGTGAAACTCCCAACACCTGCTGGGCTGTAAGGAGATGGGAGCACAGTACACGGATTCTTGAATCCTTCCGTGCGGAGCTTTAAGTGTTACGCCCACATATGCACGGTGTCCCCGGTGCTGCGGTTCTCTCTGCGGCCGCGTTCGTGGGATGGGAAAAGCGTCCCGGTTCGCATCCACGGCTACCGTCGCACTGGCGACCATTGTGGTGAAGTATGGTGAAAGAATTCGGACGGCATGGGGAGGCCTTCATCCAGCAGTGGATTGACAAAGGGCTGCACGTTACATCCGATACGTCACTCTCAGTCGTGGAATCGGCCCAACATTCCAGTTATGCAGCCTCCTTGTGGAGACCCAGGGCACAGCGATGCTCTCCCGGGCAAATTACATGAACTTATTATCTTAATAAAATTAATTGTACAAACATCCCAATGATGCAGGACCCTCCCGAAAGAGAATCTCCTCGGGTATAGCTCTTGGGTGAATGCAGGGAATAATAAGGCATTGTACTCATCATCACGGTTACGCTGTCCCCCACCCCGCGTCCTGCGGGCCGTCCGCTCTCCTGGCCGGCCTCGATGGCGTCAGAGGGGGCCGGGCGATTGTGAATGCGTCTCGACGTCTAGACGTCTAGACGCATTCACGTTGAAGGTGTCGGGAAGACAGACGCGGGGTTTCCGTGGAGACCGGCGAAGAATAATAATGCGAGGAAGCAATTTACATATATATACTGTATATATATGCTGTGTATATACGAATTTTGCGAGATTAAATTTTGAAGGAAAAAAGCCCTCGTATCGTGATGGTTATTATAATTCTTATGAATCCGAGCAGGGTCCGCGTGAGTGGCATTTTAAATGTCACGGGAGTGGGACGGCGGCGGGGGCGACGCGGGTCAGGACCCCAGCTCCCCCCCCCCCCCCCATGCACCACCAATCAATACGAAGTGCGTGGAGCGCCGCTAATTGCAGTGGCGTATGGGGGGGGGGGGGTTGAGGGGTCAGCCGAGCGGGCTCGGTGTGGCTCCTCGCGCCGTCCGTGGGGCGGGTGGAGCAGCAGACGGGTGTGCTGCTGCTGCTTGGGGTTCAAGCACCGCGATCCGATTAGCGAGCTAAATCGTGCCTGTCGACGCAGACTTGGGTTTACGGCCGAATGCTGTGAGGGCCGAGGTGGAGGTGAATACCGGCAGCAGCCACACGCGGCCGGTGTCGGGGGCGGGAAGCCGGGTCCGCGGATGTCGGCTACGCTGCGAGGGCCAAGGCCGACGACGGAGACCTGAGGACGAGGCGTCCTCGAGCCTGTGACCACAACCGCAGGAAGAATAAGGAGAATTGCTCGCTTGGAATCTGGCCGCGCGTGTGGAAGCTGTTGGGCAGATGGCTGGACACCTGCGTTGGGCTCGACCGGGCAGCACCTCAACCCCCGCGCTGGTCTCGAAGCGCCCTCGCAAAGTTGTCGAGGAGGGCCCACGTTGGTCCCGATGCGTCGCGGGTTCCTGCTATTGTGAACTTTGACCACGGGGTAGGAGTCGCTGGCGCGTGGGTGAGGAATGCGGCACTCACCAGTGCCCGTCGCCTGGTGGATCACCCCGTGGTGTTCCCGTCACCTGGTGGATCTCCCCGTGGTGTCCCCGTCACCTGGTGGATCTCCCTGTGGTGTTCCCGTCACCTGGTGGATCTCCCCGTGGTGTTCCTGTTGCCTGGTGGATCTCCCTGTGGTGTTCCCGTCACCTGGTGGATCTCCCCGTGGTGTTCCTGTTGCCTGGTGGATCTCCCTGTGGTGTTCCCGTCACCTGGTGGATCTCCCTGTGGTGTTCCCGTCACCTGGTGGATTTCCCCGTGGTGTTCCTGTTGCCTGGTGGATCTCCCTGTGGTGTTCCTGTTGCCTGGTGGATCTCCCCGTGGTGTTCCTGTTGCCTGGTGGATCTCCCCGTGGTGTTCCTGTTGCCTGGTGGATCTCCCCGTGGCGTTCCCGTCACCTGGTGGATCTCCCCGTGGTGTTCCTGTTGCCTGGTGGATCTCCCTGTGGTGTTCCCGTCACCTGGTGGATCTCCCTGTGGTGTTCCCGTCACCTGGTGGATCTCCCTGTGGTGTTCCCGTCACCTCGTGGATCTCCCCGTGGTGTTCCCGTCACCTGGTGGATCTCCCGTGGTGTCGAGGCTGCTGTGACGCCACACAGAGTGCATTCGTTGTGCCCCAGGGCCTTGAACATTTCCACTGAATTCGTGATAATCCAGAGCCTCGGAAACCGCGGTCGCGTGCTCCCTGCAGCTGAGTTGCCGCTGAGCTCGAACCACTGAGGCCTGAGTTCGAGTCCAGGTGCCAGCCACCTGCGATTAAGTTGGGTTCTCATGGTGTCGCGAGTTGGTCTCATTGCGGTCGCCAATGTCTGAACAACATCACTTTACGTTTGGTTCTGCACTAAATCCCAGCCCTGAGAATGATCAGTTTGACTGTAACGTAACAAACATTTCCCTCGTGCGGCATTCTTCGGCTCGTGGGGATGCGCGATCGCTGAGTCGGCGGGGACCAGCGACACGCATCCTCGCCATGCCAGGAAGCGGATCTGCTCGTGGACCCTGCGGGGCCCCCGTGAGTGAGGGGGTCAGAGGGCCAAGCCGAACCCCAACGCCACCCATCCCATCCCAGCCGCGCACAGCTGAGCAGCAGCTGGGGCCGCGACACTGAGTGAGGGGGAGGGGAAAGGGAATGACTGTAGATTGGAGCGGAGAAATGAGAGGAATTAAAGGTTTGAGTGAGAGAGCAGGGAGAGGGTGAGTAGGCGGGGAGTGGGACAGGGGGAGAGAATGTGAGCTGGGGGGTGGGGAGGATGGAGAAGAGAGTGAGACGTGGGAGAGGAAGGAGAGAGCGACAGGGGGGAGAATGGGAAAGGAGGACAGTGGGGCGAGGGAGGGGGAGGAAGTGATGCTGCTGCTGCAGTCCCCATCTGGTGTGTGGCTTTGATTAAATCACCGCGCGTGTCATCGGTGGAGGGACGTTCATGAGCGCGCATTCTCTACGCGGGATTCCCACTCGGCGATGGAACGGTTCCTTCGTGGCGTGTTCCATCATACGAGGACGCAGTGGATCAGAAGGCGAATATGATTGGAGTTGGTGCCAGTGGAGTGAATTCCTTTGACTGGAATAGTAGGGAAACTCTCAGCTCTACAGCCTCCCTCGTGACCTCGTGAATTCACTCCTGATCCTCCCTTCTGTTCCTCACTCCTCCTGCCTCCTGCGCCTCCTCGCAACCTCCCTCCTCCCTCCGCCTCCTCGCGCCTGCTCCTTCCATCTCCTCACTCCTCCCTGCACCTCATTACTCCCTCAATCCCCCTCTTCACTACTCCAGGCCCTCCTCCTCGCTTGCACGCACCTCCTGTATGTTGAACTGCTCTCCGTGTGCCACGGTCAGCGTCGTGCTGACGCGGCTGTCTCGGCTGCTGCCCTGGCCTCACCGCCTGTCAGCTCCCCCGTTGATTCACAGACGCGGGTCGCACCGTAACGCCGCGATGCGGTGAGTGCCTTGAGCTCCCTCACACTGCACGGAGACTCGGCGATTGCAATGGACCTGATTGTTCAACTCGCGATGCAATCGGCGATTTATCAACTGAATGGATGGATGGTGGAGCATTGCGCTCTCAACTCCGTGCCCCGAGTTTGATTTCCAGCCACGGCTCACATTCGTGGCGAGTGATGAAGCATGGTCACGCAACCGCCATGGTCTACGCGGCATGGGGAGGCCTTCATCCAGCAGTAGTGCGACAAAAGGCTGAATTTGTATGTTTTTTTTTATGTATATGCAAATGAGAAGTCAATATCAACAACACGAGTGAAACGGTAACAGCGCGAGACAGAACCGGTACTCGGATCGAACCCGAGCTGAGGATAGACCACGGGGTGAATCCTCACGCACACCATCGCGGTGATTTGAAGAATCGACGCATCGTTATCATTATAGCCCGCGGCAGTCGTAGGCTGACGTTTCAGGCAATGCCCCTTTTTGAGTTGAGACACGGCGGTGTGTGTGTGTCACGGCGCCCAGGAGCAGGAGC